TCCCTCTTCCAAGGCAGGAAGTTTACCTGCAAAATGCTGTTAGTTTGACTTAGGATTTCACAGCTGCATTAAAAGGTCTATTTCACTGCTCAGAAAGTAGATCTTTCAATATGCTTTTTTCAGTATATTTGATAAGGGCATTTATGTTGCCATTGTTTTGCATTCCTTTCACTGCTAATTTCCTTCCTAATACCGCTAATCATACTTTGGTTTACTCAATCCTAGAGCTATGAGAAGGAATGCAATCATTCAGGGAGAATTTCAATAGGTCAAAAAATGGGTTTAAACAACATGCCAGAACCATTTACAAATCAAAGCCCTGGAGTGGCAGACAGATGTGAAAGTGCTGCCGCTGAAGCAGTTTGACCAGCCAGGTGTAAATATGGGGTTTCCAGGACGCTGTAACAATGGGGCAGAACCACAGACATTTACTCTCAGGGAGTAACAGATCAGGGAGCACCCTCTTTGCGGATTGTCCAAAGATAATCTCAAGAAATCTTCTGGCCCCCAGGCAGCTGAACAGCCCCAACTTTGCATGCCAGCACTCCTCTGTCATCAGGCCACCTGCCAGGCAGATAAGCTGGCAGAAGATCAGACAGGTAACAGGTACAGTGAAAACCTGTTTGTATTCCTCAGAATAGGCCATCGCCACATGGTATCTTAGCTTTGCCTGAAATGCTCCAATGGAAATATGTTCACCTGGAGCTTCTCCAGCCATCATTACACACGAATCCTGCCCAACAGCTGCAGGGTGATAGGTACATGTTGTCCATCTCCATTGTGCTCATCAACCTGCACACCTTTCCCTGGGGCTGAAGCTGTACAGAGTGACATCAGTACTCACCTTCATGTGCAGGCGGGCAAGAATACTTAGGGAAAATATTAACTATTTTGACCACTCACTGCCCTTTATGGACAGATGCCTACTGGAGAGGGAAAGGTAACACCAGGAATAAAAACATCTCTGTTTCGACTTTCGTGCAAGCTGGGATGGCAAAATTTTAATGTTAGGAAAGTACTCAGAGTATCTGGTGGTATTTGAAATTGCCTGCACAGCCTTCTCATTTTTCTCCTGTAAAATAAACCTCTTTTCACTAAATGTAGACCCTGAGCACTACTAACTCCCACGTCATAATATCTCCCTTGAACAGCCTCTGAATTATTGTTAAGGATCAACTCCAGCAATAGGGTTCAATACTGAGGGTTGGAATTTCTCTGTAGGAACACTGTCTGAGGGAAGAGGGCTTTAAAGTGTCCTGCAAGGAACAACTCCAGAATTTAAATATGTCAGGAACTGGCAAGGATAAAATACCTGGGACCACAAATTTCTCTGTCAACATATGTTTTCATATTTACTTTACATTTTTATGAGTATAAAAAGAGCTAATTGATGAAAATAATACTTTAGAAAGTCTGAAGACCTCTTTTTAATAACCTTTAAAGTAGCTTCCCTTGAGAAGTTTTCTTCCATTAGTCTAAATATTTAGTATTGTACTTACTGTCCTTGTTTTTAGAGAAATGCTTTAATGAAGCAAAATAGGTAGTGACTTGCAATCCACTGGTTGTAAAAGAGCAGGACTTTAGAGCTTATTTAAAGGAAAAGAGAACCACTTTTACAAAAGGTCCTACTCTACAGGATTTTTGAACCCATTCTGTAATTCCACATTCCTTCCAGCTGTTAAACTTTCTTCCTGAAACTTTGACCACAAAATACAGGATATGTGTTTTCTAAGACCTAGCACCAGATTCCCAGAGAACATATTTTATTTGCGAAGAAGTACTCTCCTTTCAACTGGCTGTACTTTTTCCCATTTAATTATTTTCTTGGTTACATATATATAACTATATATATAAATATCTTCCTACCTTCCTTCCTTCCTTCCCTCCTTCCTTCCTTCCCTCCTTCCTTCCTTCCTTCCTTCCATACCCATCTCCTTCCTTTTCTCCTTCTCCTTCTTTTTTCCTTTTCTCGTTTTCCTTCTCCCTTTCCTTAAAGGTGGCTATAAATTTTCTGCTAATCAGCATGTTCATGTAAAAACATGATTTCATGGTCTCTAAAATTATTTTCTGTTTATAACTTGTACTTTAATAATTACTCACTGTTAACCACATACTACTACATCTTTAATCCTATCATAAACCAAGTGTTATTATTCTTGTCTAAAAGTAAAAAGTTCTTTCAAAAATAGCCAGCTGATTTTGTTTGTGTCAGATGAACCAAAGCAGACATTGAACAGGAGTTCTGCTATGTTTGGGATGGTATCAGGATGCCACCCCATCTTTCTAGCTTAGGTGGAAATGAGAAGAGCTTTTTCAGAATTATGGTTTGCTGAAGGAGAATAACTTTGGTCTTTGAAGTTTCCTAACTTATGCCTTAACGTCTGGGGTTTTTTTCTTATTTTGTACAAAGACACAGCTGTGCTTTACTACCCAAAGCATTATGTGGAAGAGTGCATGTATGAAAACTGTTTCAGTGAAGCTTGTTAAAATAGGCTTAATTATAATGGAATGAATGATCCCACTTTGAAAGTAAAAAATTCAAGAATACAAACGTTTCAAAGTGAGCTTTAAGTGAAAAAAAAAGCTGAGCCTGAAGTGAAGTATATCCTTCAAAAATTTTCTGAACTGGGACCCTAACAAATCACTGCCTTACACCTAAAGATCAAGATTTATCCAGAACTCAAATTTTGAAGCCCAAATTTCCCCACATAGATGGGCCTAGGCACACAGGCATATGCAGAAGCAACTTCATTTCAGAAGCTGTGTGCTTTGTTCCTATCTAATCTTCACAAAACTGAGACCCAAAGCAAAAAGGTACCTGCATGAGGAAGTAGAAGACAAAGTTATTGGAGGCCATTAACTTATCTCTTTTTTCTTTGTTAAACAGTTTCCAGCTATTACTGACTTCAACATGTCATTCCCAATATATTTGTACTCCTACAGCCCCTCTTCCCCCTAGAGGTCAAACTCTGCCTGTGGCCAAAACTCCCAAGTGCATCAGGATGTTATAACCTCCCCGAGATGGCTTAACTTGCATTAACAGCACTTGCCTAGCATAAAGCAGCAGCCTTGTCATTTTTATCTGAAACTGTAGCTGGAGAATCGACTGTCTACTTTTAGTACAAATCCTAGTGGTTAGATTTTTAGAGCAGCAGACTTGAGATCAAATCTTTTTTTCACTCTAAACAGTTTTGACACTGTAACTCCCACTTCACGGAAGAAAAACCAAGTTGCAAGGCTGCAGGAAGGAAAACTAACCACTATTCTTTCCCAAGATAAGCAGATGACTGGCAAAACCAAGCTATAAACAGAGCATGTGAAAAGCAGTGTGATGTGGTAACATCATGAATGAGGACATGCAGAAATGAGCAACATGGGTTCAGATTCTTACTTCACTAGATAACTTGGGGGTTTAATTCACCAAGTGAAATATAAAAGCTAAATGACTACATTACCTGGAGCTGCATTGAATGTCTGCATTAGGTTATATCAAGAGAATATAACTACAAGTAGTAATCTAAGTGTAACTGCAACCACGCAATATGTGTAATTGAAATAGAGCACTGTGTTGGCAAAACATTAAACTTTTCCTACCTCTAACCTGCATGGATCAAGTAAGCAGCAACTGTAAAGCTTTTACATTAAGTTACTGAAGCTCCTATCACAGCTTATAGAGAAGGCAGTAACAATGAAGACAGCTAAGATAAGTGTTTCTTGAAGAATGGCATGTTGTTCCCAACTCTCTTGTCTAATTAAAGACCCAAAATGTTATTCTACTGATGGCAGTACTCACTTGACATCAAAGGGAATCAAGATTTGCCATTCTTTTATGAAGAATTATTTTTATCATATGATTAAAAACAAGCAAGACAATTCACAATGCATCATATAGTAGCACTTTTGTCTCTAGGTGACAGCAGACTTCAGTTCCATAAGTGTCTCAGAGGTCCCACCTGATGTCAAGAGATCAGCTCAGTACTGAGACTGCAGCATCTGAACCAAGTTACAATCACCTCCAGAAAACACCAGCTCTGACCAGAACCCCATCCTACTATATAACTGGCAAACGTGCTGGAAAACTTAGGAGCTTACAAACTAAATAAATAAGGATAAAAGGATTGTGCAGATAAGAAATGGCTTACCTGAAGTCACACAGCCAAGCTCCAGTAAAGCACGAAAAGGAGCCTGAGGTTCACTGAAATTCCAGAGGGATTATCTGGATGCAGATCACAATTTGACCTTCATGATAAAAATTTTGCTTGTATCTATCTCACAGTTTTATGCTATTTTATGTGATCTCTAAATTAAAGAGAAAAATAACACTGAAAACTTCATTTCTCCAAATTCTGTGCCTAGTGTTTGTTTAGCCAAAGTGTATGACTGAAGTTAGCATTCAAGCAGGGCATAAACTCTTTGTTAGTGAAAGAACTGAGAAAAATGAAGGATCACATCTGTGTCATACTCTTTGCTCCCACAGAAGGGGGAAAATGGGGACGATCTATAACTTTAGAATTACTATAATTATTTATTACCATCTCCAGCAGCATTATGGCCAGGGATTAGGGTGGAAAATGAATCATGTAAGATAAAATTTTCTTTCCCCACAAAATATTACTTGTATTATTAGCAAGGAAATAGTTTTGCACAGTTTATTTAGAAATACTTCTTTATAGATATCTGCTACTTCAGTCATGGTGCATTAAGATAACTCTAAATGACAGGTCCTGTTTGAAACCAAACTCTACTGTATTTTATATTATAATGAGGATTCTTTTACAAAATATTAGTTAATGAGATATTAGCAACTAATGCACTGGAAAGGGCGGATGGGAAGATAGTCAACTGTCTAAATCAGATTTTCACAGTGAAGTAAACAAATTACTAAGCACACTTATCTGGTTTAATGCCAGCCTATACTCTAGGGAACTGATCAAAGAGTGGATCATGAAAAGCTTTTTGGGAGCAGCTAAATTCTACAGCTGTGGTTTTTGTTTTTCTAGTACTTTGCAAGAACAGAAGGGGGAATTACGAAAGCGTCTATCGTACACTACCCATAAACTGGAAATGCTTGAAACAGAATTTGATTCTACACGTCAGTATCTTGAAATAGAATTGAGACGTGCTCAGGAGGAACTTGAAAAAGTAACTGAAAAACTGAGAAGGTTAGTAACTAACTTTCTGAAATAAACAGTCTTTAGGAATTTATAAGTGGCTGTATTAAGATGCATGAATAAAAATATAATCATATAGTCTCAAACATACATAACTTATTATTCATTATGCATCAAGCTTTCACATGGAATATACATGTTTCATTTATCCAAACATATGCTACATACATGAAGTTATTTACATGTGATATGTAAAATGTCTCTGTATTTATAGCAAATATGCATATAGAAATATACAAATATAACTGCATATATGACACTTTATATGTAAATATACATGTGGATTCATGCCACATTATGTTACACATACAAAGATTATAAGCACACTATATATCTATATATATATACTTATAATTTATATATAGAGATAAATCATTAGTTTAGCTGTACATTTCCTGTTGTTATTCTCCATTGCATTGATACAACAGAATAGAATCTGGTCTTCCACCACTCAAAGCGGAGACTATGTACAATTCAAATGCTATTATGACATTTTACATTATGCTATAGCATATCATTCACTTTTTAGTCTCAAATAGATTGGAATGATACCAAAACCTATTATTTAAAATTGTTGAAGTTGTGGTACAGAGCCATTGCAAATCAGGGGCCCAGTTAATGTTAATGATAAATTATAATACGCATGCACTGCTGACATTCCTGGTGCTGATTAAAATGGTCTGTAATCTAGCTTTAAATTTATCAGTGATTCTTAGTATCAATTTTTTCATTGTTTGCAAAACTTCTGAACCTAAAATTATCCATTTATGCAGGAATGTATTTGCATTTCTTGTGAGATGTTTCTAAAATGATGTAGATAATCGAACTGTTTGATTTAGCTCATTGGATGAGTCAAAACAAAATTCAGAATGAATCATCCCAGGGCTTCAGACCCAATTCATACCCAAAGAAATATCTTTTATTCCTTGCAGAAGGCAAAAACCAAACCAAAAGAAAGCCAGAAACCACCAACAAACTAAGTCAGTCTAATCATTTGATCCACATTTTAAAGAGAATGAAGCTGTAGGACCTCAAATTAAGAAACAACCTAATGTGATCTTATAACTTAAACACTTCCTTAACCAGGGACACTTCTTACGATAAGGCTAAAATCCACACACATCTATCAAGAGCAGTCTGGAGGCTGTCCATGCTGTTTTCTTGCTAACAGTGTATTTCCTATCACTTCACTGAGCTGTGAAAAGTAACTTCACTCTTGACATAGGTTTGCTCCAGTACATTACAAGACAGGGATTGATGGTACTCTTTTGAAGAATTATTTCAGACACAGTTGCCATAAATTAGCAGAGGTGCTGACCACTCAACTTTTGTTAGAACAAAGGGGCTTCCTAGCTTTTGGACACTGATGACTTAAGCACCCTTCAAAACTCAGGCTAGGCAGTCTTCCTTTGCTCTAGGCAGAATCTACACCAAACATCAGATTGGTAGAACTGACTTTCCAATATTCTAATGAGCCATTGTACTGTATTACAAAGAAAACTCACATTAGAAATTATGTTTCAGGAAGGTGATTACTCCCCTGAAGACATATCATATTTGAAGTCCAAAATAGTTTATGAGGTGAGCGCGAAATATGTTTCAATTGAGAATAGCAAGGCATACCACAAGTTGAACTAGATTTCCCAGCCTGGAGAAGGATAACGTCTAATACAGAACTGTCATCCAAAAGCATGTCAACAACATGTCACAAGGAAAATCAGTGTGAGAAAAACGAGAAACTTGAATTAGTTTCAATAATGTATCTCTTGCTTTATTCAAGAGCAATAAAGGGAGAAAAATTAACACACAAAAACCCCAAAATAAATAAGCCCTGTGTACAGGATTCACTCACATACTAGAAAACATTTCTGTTATTAAACTTCCATAACTAAGTGCAGAATTTTTCTGAGAGCTGAATGGCCATCCACTTATATTCCTTTCTGAATGAATGCCTTTAGTATCTTAATTTATCCAGAATTACCTGTGTTGTTGCTAGGCCTCCCCTCTATTAGCCAAACAAGGAGGTCATTTATGTGGCTTAATGGTCAAGTTTTTGACCTCTCTACAAACTTTTAGACGTGGCCTTTTTCTTTATTTCTCATGGGAGCAAAAGCAGGGCACTGCTGAGCAAGTTTTAATGTATTAACTGTAAAGCATAAGTTCAGCTTTGAAAAGTACCTGAAAAGAGATTGGGGTTTTCATATATCTCACTGTAGTCCCCTATCTGACGTGATCAGCATAACTCTTTTTTTTTTAGGATAAAATTAAAAAAAAAAATCAAATACCAATCATGGAACCAAAACTGGACTCCAAAGTTCATGCTGGGTTTTCTCCTTGAGACCCTACCTTGTACAACAACTTTGCCCCGTCATAGCTTTTACAGTATGTTAGAGATTGGAAGGGACCTCAAAAGATCATCTAGTCCAATCCCCCTGCCGGAGCAGGAACACCTAGATAAGGCTACACAGGAACGTGTCCAGGCGGGTTTTGAATGTCTCCAAAGAAGGAGATTCCACAACCTCCCTGGGCAGCCTGTTCCAGTGTTCCGTCACCCTCACTGAGAAGAAGTTTCTTCTCAGGTTTAAGTGGAACCTCTTGTGCTCCAATTTGTACCCGTTACCCCTTGTCCTTTCATTGTTTTCCACTGAGAAGAGCCTGGCTCCATCCTCGTGACACTCCCCCTTTATATATTTATATACACTAATAAGGTCACCCTTTAATCTCCTCTTCTCCAAACTATAGAGACCCAGCTCCCTCAGTCTTTCCTCATAAGGGAGATGCTCCACTCCCTTAATCATCTTAGTTTCCCTGCGCTGGACTCTCTCCAGCAGGTCCCTGTCCTTTTTAAACTGAGGGGCCCAGAACTGGACACAATACTCCAGATGAGGTCTCACCAGGGCAGAGTAGAGGGGAAGGAGGACCTCTCTCGACCTACTAACCACCCCCCTTCTAATACACCCCAGGATGCCATTGGCCTTCTTGGCCACAAGGTCACAGTGTCGGCTCATGGTCACCCTGTCGTCCACCAGGACCCCCAGGTCCCTCTCCCCTACACTGCTCTCTAACAGGTCGTTCCCCAGCCTATACTGGAACCTGGGGTTGTTCCTGCCCAGATGCAGGACTCTACACTTTCCCTTGTTTTATTTCATCAAGTTATTCCCCGCCCAGCTCTCCAGCCTGTCCAGGTCTCTCTGGATGGCAGCACAGCCTTCTGGCGTGTCGGCCACTCCTCCCAGCTTAGTGTCATCAGCAAACTTGCTGATAGTACACTCAATTCCCTCATCTAAATCGTTGATGAATATATTAAATAATACTGGGCCCAGTACCGACCCTTGAGGCACTCCACTAGATACAGGCCTCCAACTAGACTCCGCCCCATAGACTACAACTCTCTGGCTTCTCTCCTTCAGCCAGTTCACAGTCCACCTCACTACCCGATCATCCAGACCACACTTCCTCAATTTAGCCGCAAGGATGCTGTGGGAGACCGTGTCAAAGGCTTTGCTGAAGTCAAGGTAGACCACATCCACCGCTCTACCATCATCCATCCACCGTGTTATTTCCTCATAAAAGGCTACGAGATTGGTCAAGCACGACTTCCCCTTGGTGAAGCCATGTTGACTGCCCCTCATAACCCTCTTATCCTTGATATGCCTTAAGATGGCACCAAGGATAAGGTGTTCCATCACTTTCCCAGGAATGGAGGTGAGGCTAACCGGTCTATAGTTACCCGGATCCTCCTTCTTGCCCTTTTTGAAGACAGGAGTGACATTTGCTTTCCTCCAGTCCTCAGGCACCTCTCCCGTTTCCCAAGACTTGGTAAAGATGATGGAGAGCGGTCTAGCAATGACCTCAGCCAGTTCCCTCAGCACCCGCGGGTGCATCCCATCTGGACCCATGGATTTATGGATATCCAGATTGCTCAACTGGTCTTTAACCCATTCCTCATCGACTAAGGCAGACCGCTCCGTTGACCTATCTTCATCCGAGGTCTCAGCGGTACAGGGCTCTTCAGGACTGCCTCCAGCAGAGTAGACAGAGACAAAGAAGTCATTCAGTAACTCTGCCATCTCTGTATCTTCTGTCACCAGGGCACCCGTCCCGTTCATCAGCGGGCCTACATTGCCTCTGGTGTTAGTTTTACCTGCCATGTATTTGAAAAAGCTCTTTCTGCTGTCCTTGACCCCTCTCGCCAGCTTTAATTCCAAGGAGGCCTTAGTCATCCTAGCAGCTTTCCTACATCCTCTAGCAGCAGCCTTATATTCTTCCCAAGTGGCCAGCCCTTCTTTCCATGACCTGTAAACTCTCCTCTTCCACTTGAGCATACCGAGCAATTCCCTATTTAGCCACGTAGGCCTCCTGACCCTCTTCCTTGACTTCCTTTTGCCAGAACATGAGAAATAAACCCATACAGAGATTTGCACACACACACACACACACACACCCCAATTGTTTCACCTAAAGCAAGATATTTCATGGACTGACAGGGTGTTCTGAACAGAAATCCTGTAGCTGTTTTAGCTTTGGAATAAGTGAAGGGATAACTCCCTTGTTTTCGTGAGAAAGTCCAACTGGTGACAACAGAGAGAAGAAAGGATTTTTGAACAAGAAGTTACTGTTTTAGCAGTCACTCTTCAAAGTTAAGCTGCACTTTTGGTGAAATTCTCTTCTTTCAAGAAGGTCAGCTCAAGCCTGTGTTTTACTTTAGATGTATTTTGTGGCCTTAAGAGGGCTTGAGACTGAGTGGAAACAGAGAAACAAAGGCTTTTGCAGATTTCTTCTTTAGTGGTGATCTGCAGTCTTAGAGAAGAGTGTGTTGTCTGCTGGGTTAGAACCCAGACATGTAATGTTCAATATAGTCAGAATATTTTTCATTTGACCCTATTTTGGTCAAGAATCTAAACATGCATTTAATACATGCCCATATATGCACCTGGAGGTACATGGGTATCACCTAACAATACAAACAACAAGGAAAGCCATCAAAAAATGGTAATAAGTTATTGATCCACAGGAGCTTATTCTTACAGCAGTTTCACAGGGTAGCGAAGCTGACCTACTGTTTGCTTTCATCACAAAGAAGCCTGATTTACAGTGTTAAAATGTTTCATACAACGTTCAGGTTATGTGGGTATATTTTTTCTGCAAACAAGGCTGTTACAATTTGTCTATCTGGTCATTTTCAGATTTGAAGTTTTCACAATTTTTTTTATTTTTTTTACAGTGTTGCCCACAGATTAATTTAACTATTCTGTTCCTCTTTTATCCCTTTAACACTTTCTTCCAAATATTTCTAAGTCCATTTCTCTCCTCACCACCCACATTTGCTGACACTTCTTTTGACACAGTGGATTTCCAGTTTGGGTTATATGCAAATATGTGCATGCATATGTCCTTATTTATGTGTGCACATATTTGTGCTTATTTTGACTACCTTTGCATACTGTTCTCAATAGAAACACTTTTTGAAGCACAGTTTCCTACTTAATGTGGATTTTTCAATTAGATTGGATTTTATTTTACTGGGACGTGGTCAGGTTTTATCCATGCTAAATTAATGTGTTAGAGAACCAGGGTTTGTGGCCTACTTTCTCCTAAACATACAACAGAGGAAAATTCGATGGTCAAAGAAAAAAGAAATCAGAAGCAGAGAAGCAGACTGTGACAAGCTCTTGCAAAAATCCTCTATGGCATGGAAGTGCTGCCATCAAAGAGCAACTATACTAATGGTAACCAACCTTGCCATAATATATATCAAGAGAAAAAGTACCAACAGAAGCTGAGGAGGAAACCCAGTGCTGTATTGCCACCCTCACAAGCCAGATATCCAAGTGGCAATTAGCAGTTACTGCTGGTTTTATTAATGAACTCAAAGTTCTAGAAATAAAAACTTCAGGATCTTCCTTGAGTTCTCCTTGTAGGTCTACACTGCAGAACAGACCAGAGACACCTGAGCTAGAAAAGTCCTGAACCAATATTTTTTCCCCCTTTTCTTTCAGGAATTTATACAGGTGGTTTTGAACACATGCAAAATTTTAGGAGGTTTCAGGTGCTAAAAGTTTCCATCAGTTTAACGCTGCCTCTAATTGAGCCACAAGCTGCCTGGGTGAAAACCAAGGTTAACCTTTTCTATTTTGCTTTATTAGAGAAAAACTGCAGACCATGACAGAAGAGATCAGACAGACCTGGGGCACTTCAGGTCTCAGGCAGCAGGCCTTATCATACTTTTTAAATCCTTTTTCTCCACACCACAGCACACAGCCTTACCAGCAAAACATAACTATGTTTATGCTGAGTAGCAGTTTGCAGGCAAAGCTAATCTAAGCCTTTTTGCTTCCACTAATTTACCAAAATAACTTCTGATTTTGACGGTGCCATGAAAAACTGTGTACAAGGCACCCTGAGATTTCTCTCTGTTGTGTTGACAGCTAAATAGCCATGAAAATCCCAAGTATACCTAGATCTGCACAAATAAATGTCTATACAGAGGCTTAGTGGCAAATGCTGCTTTTAACTGGAGCACAGACAATACAGAGATCCGGAAACTTCAATCAATCATTTAAGTCACACAGATATTCACACAATGGCATTGTGAGAACTGGTGAGTAATGACCAAACCACAGGTTAGTTCAAGTCTCACAGATTTTCAGCCCATTTGGGTCACCACCTTAGCAAACACTGTACCACAAATCCACCTTAGAGTGAGAAAATCTCCACTCTATAGCTCTTCAAAATATACATGACACTGAAACTTCTCCCAGGCTCTCAGTGCACATTTGAAATGGATGGCCTGAGGCTGGGCTGACCCTTGATACCTCAGGGAGATTCATCCATGGGGGTGTCATCATTTATGCCCACAGAGCAGATGTCCCCTGCACAGAACTCCCCTCCCAGGTCTGTGGGGCAGATGTTACCATATTACTGGGAGCCTCAAACCAGAGCACTGCATGCCCTGTGAGAGGCACTGTGAGCCACTGGCCTGTCCTGAACAGAGAATTTTTATCATTTAACTGGAAAGAAAATCTCCATGGTAACAGATACAGGGAGAGACCTAAACCATCACATTGCTTCACTGCCACAAAGGGGTGAGTTGGACCCCTCAGTTGTCAATGGCATGGTTCAAATGCAAATCTTCATTCCAGTTTTAAGAACCACTCCTAAACATACAATAAACCAAAGAGACTTCTTTAATCCCAGTCCCTTCCTGATTATCATGGAAGCTACACAGAGATCCAGGCTTCTCAGAGCAGTGGCTTTCTGCTGAAAAAAACATGCATTAAATCTGTGATCACTCTTACAGTGAACTAACCCTAACACTTGCATTCTACCTAAAATCAACTCACTATTGGAAATACTTTGACCTGTTGACCTAAGATTCCCAGTGCAAACATATAGATGTATTCAGACAAAGTTTTCACAGCTGAGCTTCTAACATTTGCTTTACATCCTGCTGAGGTGGTATGTGCAAACATGACCAAGGAGCTACCCTCCATACCTTCAATGAAGAGAAAAGGAAACCTTTCTCACACCTACCAAAATAATGATGCTTTTCCCACAGGCAGTGCAGCTTGTCTATTACAATACCAAGGTTACCATCTCAGCAACCTAAAGATGTACAAATTGAAACTTCGGTGCATCTTTCTATAATAAGCAGGGAAGCCTCATTTTGTGAGGCTATTCAATCCTTTGGTGCTAATAAACCTTTTCCAGGCTAAGCTATCTGAATGTATATCCTGGAGAAAGAGGATATGTTTACCTCTTGAGAACAGGCAATTCCTTGAACTTCTGTAAAAAGAAGGAATATTCTCTTTATATGGTGTTTTTGCTACAGTCATTAGGTTTCTGCTGCAATTTTCCTTATTAAGATTGCCACATGAATCTTTTTCTGTACTAAAAGACACATAAGAAAGCATACAGCTCAAGCTTCCTCTCTAGCATATTATTCCTGAGCCTGTTGTAAAGCTACAATCTCTTTGTGCAAGTTCCCATGCTGTGATGCATATCTGCGCACAAGTGGAGAACAGCAAACATATTTTCACTTCCTGGTGGAATTTGATGCTAATTATAGTAAGCAAACATGAAAAAAGAAGCTTGCTTAGGAAGTAGGTGGTAATTACATTTCAAGGACAACCGCTGACTTGCAACAGGAGTCATAAAAAAGAAGATTTCAAGTATTGCAAGCCAAGGTTTTTTACTGATGTAAAAATTACAGGTAAAGAACAACATGAAAATCAATGCATTAAATTACATTATATCATCTTTGTTTTAGGATACAAAACAATTACCTAGCCTTACAAAGAATTAATCAGGATCTGGAGGATAAACTTTACAGAATGGTAAGTTGTCATAAGTGAACTTTCCTTTTTAATTAAATGTGGGTTTATGGCTCTTAAATCATAGGACAAATGTATATGTATCTGTGACAAAAAATAAACACCCTAATGCTCCAAACGTAGTATGCTTTAAAAAGATACTGACTTTATCAGTATCAGCTTTCAGAGCTAAAGCTGTGTGTGGTGGCATAAGTCTATCAGTTTAAACAGAAATTCCACTGGCTGATGATCTGGATGAGAAAATTGTACCTTCAAAATAATTCTGGTTAATTTAGTTAATAACTTCATGGGTTTTAAATATTTATGTTTTCATTAATGACAAATTTAAATAAGGTAATGCAAGGTTTTCTCATGCTTCTTAGATGTTTTAACTCAGCTTTTATTAAGGGATTTAATAGAGCTTGAATGGTCTGACTTTTATATGCTGTCATAACTCTCAATCTCAGTGTATTAATTTCCAATCTGCATGTGTCTGCAACCACAGTGTCACTGTCACAGGCCAATTTATAACTCAGTGAGGAAATCACTGTGCCATTTATGGGTTTCACATCTAGGACTAGTATTGAAAGACAGCTCCACTGATGCAAAATAGTTTGGAGATGTTAAAAAGAAATAGTGCCCTGGCTCATTGTTAATGCTGCTGGGACATCGGACTTGCTGTTAGGAGAAAATCTATAGAGAAATGTGAATGTAAGGTTTAAAGAGGAAATTTTTAAACTTCCAAAGATCCTCAGTTTAGAATTGTAGACTGACCCACTTCCTCCTTTCCTGGCTCAGGATGATCAGTGGTCCTCTCGTCCACTTCCACCCAGCCCCAGACCTGGTGTGGCCCTAGAAAGCATAATGCATACATGTAAGCACAAGGTTTATAGGTCCAGAGTCCTGATGTACAGCTACAAGGACGCTAGGATAAGTTTGCATTTTACACAAGCATCATATGTAACATTTGCATAGGTGGGCAGCTTGGAATGAGTGAGACAGATTATTGTGCTTTCACAGTAAATAGGGACTGTGGCAACACACTGGAGAGATACCAGCCTTTACTAAGAAATGTGAAACAAATCTTTGAAAATAACATCATTCTTATCTCAGCAGTCTGTTGAAATAGCTGACAATGAATAGAACATTGATGCCTTTGTAACCGGCTAACAACAGGGCAAAGTTACATTTGGGTTATAGTGATGTTTGTTCATAAATTTATATAAACACTGTGCAAGTATAAATTTTTTTCTCATTTTTTTTCTTCCCTCTTCTTTTCTTAATTCTTTTTCCTTTGGGACTTTTTCTTGATCTGCAGCCTGAAATTTATTAGATATGCATTACAAAAGATAAATAAAGTAGAGGCATTCTGACTGGTAAAAAAAATATTACAAACATAGAAAGAGGGACTCTAGAAAATCCATGCTTTTTTATCAGGTATTTCAGATCAAAGCAAAGAATTTTTAACCTGATGTTTAAGCATCCACTTAAAAACCCTGAGAAATTATTTCAGAGCACAGTACAGAAAGAAAGAAGGCTGGTTGCATGGAACACTCTACCTTTTTATATCCCGCTAATATGACAGTCACTGAAGGCAGCTTTAAAGGCTTGAAGATCAACCAGAGTCTGTACAGCACTTAACTCCAGACTGCTTTGTTGTCTGAAAAATTGAAACTGAAGACACAAAACCAAACAAATGTCAAATTGAAATCCTATTGAAAGCAAAAAGATGAGGAACATACTACCATATTTGATTTAGATAAGACAAACCATCTGATTTTCAGGGCACTTGAAAACCCCTCAATACTTCAGAGAAAGTTGGATTAAATAACAGCTGGTCTGGTTAATCAACAGCTTATGGAGGACAGAGCTATTGGATACCTTTCTCTCCTTTTCCTGCTTAGGAAGAACAGCCATGTATATTTGTTTAAGTTACTCAGTTTGTCATTCCAGAGTCAAAAGCCTTTGACTTCTCTACCTTTATACATATCCAAATGTACAAACTATGTGTTTACTTTCTCCCTCTGTCCCCCACCCCATCTCTTTATATACACAGGTACATTATGTATATAAACACACACATATGTGCACTCAGACTCATACACAAGTTTTGACCATTTTATGTGTCCAAATGCAACAAGTAGGAACAAGAAGATCCCTGGAGCAGTGGTCCCTCACTCCCCCTGTCTGCAGGTGACCTGGGATGCTCACAGGAGACCATGTTCTCTCTGCCCTTACAACTCCCTCTCTACCAGTGACTGGCCCCAGCTCATCATAATTAATCTAGGACTCACCTTGGCCACCCTCTTCTAATTTTTTTGGGATCCTGAGTGTTAAAGTCTTTCATTCCTGCTCTTGGTATAAGGGATGTAAAAAATAATCATAAATTCATTAGCAATCACAGAAAAGAAGCTGAAGCAGCTGTTATTTTTCTTCTAGACTCTGCTTCCTTTTGAGTGCAAATCTATAAAATATTTTTTAAAAAATTTGAGAGCACACTTCTGATCGTGGCAAGTTGTATCCAATTGAAACTTCTGTCACATCAAAACTGGAAATAAAAATACAAAATATAAACCAGTCTGTGCTGGGAGAGTTTGCTGTATTAAACTGGGCAAGACCAAACATATAGCACAGTAGAGGCAGATGTAGCACAGAGCTAAAATTCTGCTGTCACTACTCATAAAACTCTCACTCTTACCACAGTCTGGGTCTTTAACTGGAGAAGATTTGTTTCACCTTGTAAGCACTGGTTAAGCAGAGGAATATACAGGCTGTCTTCTTAAATATTTGAGCTTTATAACTCTTTTTTCCATTAAGATGTGGGAAAAGACTAAACAGAGTCCTCAAATTTTGCACTGTGATTACATCACAGGACTGTTCAATTAAAGAACCTTTTATAATATCTAGTTCCAAGTCACTACTTGTCACAAGTAGTCCGCATTTTCCCTTATACTTGTCTGATTTTCCCAAGGATGCTCTGCCATGGTCTTGTTGCTCACAAACAGCAATTACAAGTCAATTATGCAAGGCATCCCAACCACATGTTAATAAATCCTGTATATGATCTCAGTCCAACGGTATTCCCCATATGATCATCACTGGAATTAAGCAATGTATTTTAAAAAGCTTTTGAAGTTTTAAGGCTTTTGGTTGCAGTTAGTTCCTGTAATTTTACCCTTAAAGCCAGATTTTTAGTGGTATCTACATTTGGGAAGAACCAATACCTAATAAGAGCTGCTTAATAAGCCTAATTGCCAATGAAAATCACACCCATTTCTTCTCTCCCATCTGTATTTTGAATGTTGCTGAAAACTTTATCATGGAAATCCAGCTGCAAAAAGCTCATGAGACCTCATTCTCCAGAAACACCCTAAATTTTGTCTTTTGTAATTAGAAAGCAACAGCTTGACAGACAGACAGCTCAATGGTATAAGCTCACTTCTCATGCAAAGTCCTTCAAGAAGCCAGAATGAAACCCCTGTTCAATCTAAAATACGTGCTATATGCAACTAATGCAAAAATACACAGGCAGCATTAGTGGCGAATATGGAAGGTGACAGCTGTATGGTTAGGAACAAAGCCCTCTGATGACCTGGGGAAAGAGCAGATAAACCAATGTACCCAGTCCATAAACCCTTACTCCCACATACACCTTGGACTGCCAACTCATATCCCTCAAGCCTGCTGCCAAACTCTGGTTCTTCAAAGTCCTGTTGGATTTGGTTGCTGTTTTTAAGGCAGGAAATTGTTTTTTTCTCCCTCAGCACCAGAGCAGGACCTTTCGGTAGTGTGGGCAATACTGAATGCTGTCAGACATCAGCAACACGACTGGACTCCTATGCTTTGATGTGTAGGAGATGCTGCCCACTGGTTCCATCAGCCCTGCAAGGCTCCCCACCTTGGCCATAGCTACTGGCACTTTGGTTCCCCACTCTGCAAAGCAAGTATCAGGCATTATACATTTTATCATCTGACAAGATGAAAACTGTTATATCACATTAGTGCTTGATTTTTCATTTACATTAAGCAGGCTAGAGGGTGTGACTCTGCCATAAATTTGGAAGTAATTACTGTATAAACCAACAGTAAAGAGGGATTTGTGTTAAGGATAATCGTGTTTGAAACACTTAACTATCTGAGCACTACACTGATTTTTATGCTGCTTCTTTCTATGAGCTCAAGGAGGAGTACAACGTACAGCAAATAATATATACTCTCTGCTGATTAATGAGAGTTATTTATACAACTCTTCAATACCTTTGGCTTTCCGGTCTGCTGGACATAAGATATTCCTAAGCATCTCTATATGAGGAAATCCAACGAATAATTATTATGAGTTGGGGAATTTTATGTGGTGCTCTAAGGCTTTGCGTCAGGGAAATGTTGTTTTAAAGGAAGCAGCTTGCTGGAAGTCCAGGCCCAGAAGATAAAGAATATGGACAGTGGTGACGAATCTGATGAACAATTTCAGTCAAGAATCAAAAGCATCTAACTAGCAGGGTGAACCCATCGCTTTGGCTTTGGAATTTAAACTGGTCACTAGATTGTACCTGAGTCTCCCAAGACAGCTACAAGACAGCTACCAGTTACCCCTCAGTGTGGTTTAAATCATATACGAAAGATGAAGGCAATGAAGAAGACGCCCGTTTCTGACATAAACCTAACAAAAGCAGAAGCCTAACATGATTATGTTTCAGCCCCATCCGTGGAAGTCTTCAAGGCCAGGATGAATGCGGCTTTTGGCAGCTTTGTCTAGTGGAAGGTGTCCCTGCCCATAGCAGAGGGTTGGAACCAGATGATCTTTAAAGTCCCTTCAACCCAAACCATTCTGTGATTCTATGATGAATTTGACAGTGACTTTGAAAGGAGTGATTTAAAGCACATCTTTTTTATTTTCTTTTCTTTATGAAGAATAACTTGCTTCTCCCCCCACTGTATGTCTCGTGAAAATCTAACAGAGATTACCTAAATATACTTAAAAGGATTTGCATCCCAAAGACAAGAAAAGTTTAGAGTCAGCTCAA